CACACACACACACACACACACACACACACACACACACACACACACACACACACACACAGTTTTGTATTAGATGTGTTATATCAAATTTAAAAGTCCATTTTATTTTACTCCAATAATGAAAATTCTGTAGGAGTTTGTGGGTGGATTGCTATAAATAAAATTATACTCCTACTAACTGATATTGCAGTAGAATCGGAAAGGCACAATTTTTTCATTTTGGAAGAGCAACACGGTGATGCACAATAAAAGGCCACCAGAGATTGCTGGTCTTCTGTACTTTACAAAAATAGGCAAATGTTGAACTCAGAGTCAGAACATGTATTATATGAAGCTACATGATTGTTCGGTGTTTGTTCAGAAGATGGTTTTGGTTTTAAGGGGGCTGGAATTCAGAATCCATACTGAGCAAATTTACATTATAATCTGAGGCTCTGCTTAGAAACAAGCAGAAAAAATGCTACAGTGTTAAAGTACAGAATGACTCACCATACTAAAAAACAATTGTACATTGAGATATTTAAAAACTATATATGATGATGATGATGATGATGATGATGATGATGATGATGCCTATATACTGTATATGTTCACAAACTCTATTACAGCAGACATAGCTGTTACTGAGGTAAAAGTGGCACATTTAAACAGGTGCATCAAAGGCATATCAGTAAAACAGAATTCTTAAAATATTAGACATGAACTTATGCAAAAAGGCATGCTGTGAGACTTGTTTTAAAAATAAACAGTATGTTTTGCATCCAAACATTAAGCAGATTTTAGATCATCAAGACCCAAAACCTAAAGCACTTCCTCTTTTTGCACTTCTGTAGATTCTGGGAAAAACAAGAAAATCAACAACCTGAGAGCAGAGTGTTCCTGTGGGATGAAAATGGGTAATAGATAATGAATTATTTTAAAGAAGACAGTACAAAGCCATTACGGGCTTTGGATGTAATAAAAATATTTTAAATTTATTGCTAAACCTTTCAGGCAGCGAGTGTAGCAGTGCCAGTACAGGGGGAGTGTGATCCCTTTTCGCAGCTCTTATCAGAACTCCTGACACAGCATTCTGAATCAACAGGAAGACTTTAGGGGAGTTACACCCAGTTAAAACTTCTTTTGTTCAGTATCACATTGGGACCAATGACCCGATTTAAAATATACTGTTTAAATGAAAGACCATTCTGAGCATCTAGTTTCTTAGAGACATGAGCTTTGGTTAAAAAAAATGACAGAGGTTCTTAACATTAGCACAAATGCAATCAAAATTAATTGTGCAAGTTCTTCTTGGAGCAATACATCAACCGCAGTTTAACCTAAATTCCCAAGTAAAAACATGGGAGTTCATTCAGGCTTTTATGTCCAGAAAACAAGTCTGAAGCTTAATATCCAGGAAACAAATTGCTTCCTGATAACGTTACCCAAATGCAGCATGTAAAGAAGAACAGAAGAGAAAAAAATCTGACCAAGCTCAGAACCCTGTGGAACATCCCAACTAACGCTGGTGAATGTGGAGGACATGGCAAAAATATGAAAAAACTGCCTAAGAAAATTTTCCTTACAGGCAAGAAAGTGAAAAGAACATGGGCGTGGTTTTTTTTGTATTGGTCAGCCACATTATTTCTTACACTCTGTCCTCCTGATGCACTTTTAAAGTTTGTAAGTGCCACCTTATCAATCTTAGAAAATCAAACATTGCCTATTGACTACTTACATCAACGAGCACCTCTGAACTCAGTTTGTTCAAAACCACTTTCAATAAAACACATACAAAATATCAGGAACAGAAAAGCAAAAGGTCACTAGACAAGCCCACATTGAAACCATAAAGACCAGCCGGTGTGAGTACTCAGTATTTAGCTTGAGTGTGAGTAGTTGTGTTCAGATCTTTGTGTTTATGAGGTAAACAAAAGACTTAAGCGCCAAACATCCCACTTTGGTAGTCTAATCAAAAGCAGCGGGGGACTTATTTCTTCTCGGCATCGACACAGTGTTTATTTACGGAGCTATTTACATTTATTTGTTCACAAGTAAGTAGACTTAATATGTCTGAGTGAGCAAACCATCAAAGGTTTCTGTGCTCGATCGGTTCGTCAGATTTTCCATGTGTGAACATGACTTGATGGCTTCCAACACGTTTCTCTCTCTCTAAACTACTTTGCACTTCTCCTTGATGCAAGARAATATTTGATTTCTGTATCATGTTTCTTTCTTCACAGATAAGGCCATCAGCGTTTTTTTTGTCCCAAACAGTGCCCTTCAAGCTGTCTGTGGTCGTGCAGCTCAGCAGGACGGTGGCCTGCACTACATCCCAGAGAGCGGAAGCAGATGTTGAGGATTTCACCCACTTGAAGGCATTAGAGGGGCAGAGACAAGATGAAAGATGGCTGCTTAGAGGCTGAGGAGAGAGAATGCTGGGGCTGGGGGGGGTGGGGGGGTGTTTAATGTTGCCGTCCCTCCCATCTTGTCCTCTTCACCCCCTCCCTATTCCCACTTCACGTCTCAGCTCATATTGTGCCGCGCAAACAGAGGCAGTCATAGAGCAGGGAGAGCGTCCTGAATCCAAATGCCTGCCAGCGATGCCATGAACACTTTTGGAATGTCTTTGATCAGAAGTTGCTGTAGGAAAACGGCTTCCAGTGGAGAAGTTCCTGTTTCTGTGATTGCCAAGGTGGTTTGACATACATATCAAATCCGTWTGCTGTAATTGAAGAGAGCTTCTTGCCTGTAGCTTGGCCGGGTCTTGTGTCAAACCYGTTCTCAAACCAGCAGATGGCCAACCGAGGAAGAGGCTGCACAGTAAGCTCGACACGGCTAGATTTATTTCTGCCTCRGTTGATGAAAGGGCAGAAGAGTGACTGAGGTTTCACTATTGTTTGTCAATGAACATATAAATCCAGCACACATAAGCTGTCAGCAGGCCAATAAGTATTAGAGCTGTGTGCGATGAGCCCCACTGTGATAGGAAGCTCATGGGGGAAGGTCAGAGAGAGAGCAGAGGCTTTATCGCCCACTGAGGGAATCCACTAATTATCCACACTGGGAGGTGCATGTGTCTCCAAGTGCACGTGTGTGTGCATGTCTGTTGACTTTGATTGATAAGACACAGAAATGATAAATACAGACAGAAGGTAGGCGTCATCATGATGAGGGGTTAACCATTTCTGTCATTGTTTTGTCTCASTCTGACATCTTAGCGAATGATTCCTCACTCAAAATCCAGATGAACTGAATGGAAGGGACGCTTGACGCAAAACAGTCAACCTGTGTGGCACATTTCATATCTGCTGCATTTCATTTTGTGAGGGAAAAAAAAAAAGAAAAGGAAAAGCAACAGATAGCCCTATCGTTATCTGCCTGTGTTTGACATGCGAGAGCCTGACACCCAGACTGTGAGCAGATCCATCAAACCGCAGCGTYGCAGGCAGATTGAGGTCATGCTGAATTATGACTAGAGCTCCAAGGTAATCACTCATTGGGCCCCTGCTTAAATGCTGTCGCGTTGCCCCCACTCTCGCCTCGGCTCTGCAKTGTGTTGACCTCGCCCGGCGCGGCTAGACACCTGTTAAATTCAGGGCCTGGATTGGTAAAGAGGCWGGTGGAGATAATTCACAGATAAAAAGCGGGGTGCTGGGGGAAGCTTGACCTTGTGGTATGGTGACCACTGTATTTTTAAATAGTCGCACACTCACACACCCGGAGGCTTAAAAAAACCTCTCTGGGTTTTGTTTTGACAACAG